ATTTGATCCTGCGGCAATTTCAACCCTTGATTTGACCCAGTTATCTACCGCTGCTGTAGTTCATCCGAGGACGTAGAAGAAGACATGTTGAAGTCTGTCCTCAGGCTGAATTCACACTTTAACAGCGGCACGACTAGACTGTCCCATTTCGTCACACACACACACACACACACAACCTCTCCAAAACAGCCGCACCATTAACAATGAACTCATTTTCACTTCCACTGAGTCAGTTGTTGTATCAAAAAACGACAGACAGACAAACAGCTGATTGGCATCGACCCCTGAGATGACCTAGGACCCGAACCATTCCCATCATGCATTGTTTCTGTGATTTACATGCCATTGTCTTTTATATCCTGCAATCTTCACGTGCAGCTGCCTTTAATTTAGAATCATCACACAAAGGCCATGTACGCTATTGGCAGCCATGATAAGGAATCCTTTATCTACACGACAGCGGCTGTGCAGGAACATGTGTTTCATGGATGCTGTCACATGAGTGTTCTCTGCCGCACCTGCCAGCGCCTTCTCTTCTCAAACGAGTTGATTTCCTTTATTTAGGTTCATTCGTTTAACCTGAGAACGACGTACGTGACGTTTTGAATTGATGGGATTCATTTTGAAAACTGATTGCCGGCTGAAATTCATTAATCAGTGTGTCACAAAAAAATGATTGATTTCGGCATCAGGGACGTCGCTTGATTTGCATGCGAAGGTTTTGAGGCCTCATTCTGCTCCATAATGAGTCGTCTGTCACGCCAGCGATCATGTTCTGTGGCGAAAGTGAAAATCTTTTCAAAGGATGGATTTACTGAAACGCTGATGCTCGTATTCCTTTACTGAACAACACTCAAGCAGCATTTTGAAACAGTAAATATTATGTTTGTAACTATCGCTGCCAAGGAGGTTATGACTTTTAGCCGAACTATGCAACAACTACTGGAGGGATTTCCACAAAACCCGGAAGGATGCAATATAAGACGGACATTTTCTTTTTCACTTCTTTAACATTTAACATTTTCATTGTTTTCTCAGAAAATAAATCAGGCTAGTGATTATAACTGTGTAATTTGGTGCATGTGGATTTCTATTTATCTTTATACTTCTGGTTAAAGTAGTTTTGTTTAATGCTCGAAGTTTCTTCTCGGGGTCACACACACATTTCCCCAGTTTTGTGTCACATCCAAATATGTCATCCTTCAGCAGGACTTCATCTTTCACTCAACCTGCCGTCGCTCAGAAAGCTTCCTGGGCTCCTCTTCCAACGTGATGCATTAGCTGAGTGACGTATATCTGCTCAGCTTCCCCCCCCTCCCGTCCAAGCGTTCCCTCTACACTCGTTCGACGAAGACGCTCACCCCTTCTTCTGCATAAAAATAGCAAGTCGTTTTTAGGATCTTGGGAAATTCTTGAACATCTTTGAAACATGGCATCAAAGTGAGACAGGGATTCCCACACCCATGTCAGCAGTGGTTTCACACCAGGACCGTGACCCTTTCAACCGGCTGATCTCGTTCCGGCAAGAGAAAGAGCTCGAAGCGTCCTAATTAACTACGTTCCTTGCTATGTTGCCTATTAGAGTGTGTTCAGGAAACTATAAATAGGGTAATTGCTAATTATCTAGAGTGATCGCACCAAAGCTGTGATTATGCTTCAGAGCTGATAAGGGTGCTTGATAGGAAGGAAGCAGAATACTGCTGTGCACCAGCCGATTTAAATTCACCCCTCAATTTCAGCAAATCCTTTTGTGCTGGGAGAATTACGCAGCATTGTGGAGGAAGCCCTTTACTCGAGAACAGGGGGCTGAGAGAAACAGCAATAAACGTGGATTCAGACAGAAAGGTTGAGTTTTTTAAGGATGAAAAGAGATGTGGGTACGTCTGCAGCTCGGCAAGACAGAAGAGATGTTTTTTAAAGTTTTCACTTCTAGAGTAAGAAGACGTTTTTAAAATGTTTACATCCGACAGGACGTCACGCCAGGAATACTCTAGAATCTTTTAGCTCGGCCAGCTCAGACGCTGCTGTTTGGTTTTAGTTCATAAGAACCGGTTAATGCCTCCAGAGTCACGCTGGGTCGTTGGGTCCCCACCTGTCCGCTGCCGTTGTGCTCTCATATAAAGCGTTTCCAGTCCCATTCCTCAGGATGAAAACATCAAGGCTGAGGGCCGTTGGCTATAAGCTGAGGGACAACAGATCACAGGACACTTCTGGTCTTCACTGTGGCCCCCGGCCCTTTGGCAGCGCAGCCCTCCCTTCGCCGCTGCCTGGCTAATTGGCTCTGTGGATAAAGGTGGAACTCTTGAGTTTACATGGAAGCACTTTGAAGACTTGAATACACTCGCCCCCGGGCCGAGTCTTACATCGGCTTTGCCCAGCCTTTAGCAGCACACCGTTAAAAAAAACCGAGGCAGAAAGCAAACACTCGGTGCGGGGACGAGGGGATAAGAGTGAAATGTAGAGGTAACATTTGTCTAGGGACCCGTGAGATTGGATGTGAAACGAGAGAAGCAGCATGCTCAACAAAGGAGGCAGTGAGAGAGAGAGCAGACCGAAAGACAGGGTAGAGACAGAGGCTGTGTACATGAGCGGTACAGATTAGAATGGAAATGATTTCAAGTAAGAAAATAAGAGTTTTGCGGTCACTGTGTATGAGCGGAGTTGAGCTGTCCCCACCGCGACCCTCTTCTCCAGCGCTCTCTGTTCTTGCTGGTGCATGATGGGTGTGTTGTGTATCCACCACTGCAAGTTGCGAGTGTCAGCTCCACTGTGCGTTTCACTGTGCGAGCAGGGAATAGATATGTGCTTGTCCAGTTTACTTTGACGCTGACATAAGCTGTGAAAGTGATTAGGAGAGCAGTATGGCAGCCGTGTGTGTTGCATGTGTTTACTTGTCCCAGCTCGATGGCAGTGCTAAGCTCTCTCTAGGCTCCAGTGTTTATCTCACTGGTGTTTAGGCTTTGCTCTTTGGACGTCAGCCCAAAAGCGAGTCCCGACTGTCCGGGCAGCTCCGCTCGGGCTAACTCCTGCTGGTTGACCTCGTTTAAAGGCCTGGCCGGCTGTCGAGCTGTCGCTGTGAGCGCAGGCCCTCGGCCGTCCAGCTCCCTGCACTGTCCCTTTCGCTGCTCTGTCTCTGTGCCTCCGTGTTCGTCTGTGTGACGGAGTTGGAGTAATGCACAGGGCTACAGCGCCGCTCTAAAACAGAGCCAGGACCAATTTATTGAGCCCAGTCACTGCCTGACAGCTAAAAGAAAAATTCTGACGTCAAGACTCTCTCTCTCTCTCTCTCTCTCTCACACACACACAAACACAAACTCTGCCTTCATTTTATATCTCAACAACTCACCTGTGAAGTTTCATGATGCTGAGATTGGATGAAAAGACAAAATGAGCTTGTGTCTTCCTGACTGAAGGTTTATTAGCGCACAACATTTGGAGGGATTTCATCTAAATGACGCGTTTGTTTACGTGGTTTTTATCAGGTTTTTTCAAGTATTAAGTAATTTAACTGTGTAAATGTCATATCTGGATTGCAGTATCCTGGATATGTCGGGTTTTGAGAAACCTCATTTTACTGGCTGCACTACTCTGTAAGTCAATTTAAACATTTGGGTTCGCTCTTGTCTCTGGAGGCAATAAGGTGGATGAACCAATTGCAACGCATGCTGGCATTTAGTAGAACTGAACCTGCTTATTATGAGTGTACAGGAATATTAAGCGTCCACGTGCATTTACTTCACTCGGAGGTTAACTGAGCATGGACGGCACAACTCCTGTATTTTCCTTCTTTCTCTCGAGAAAACAGTGTATTGTGTAATTTCCCTGGTGCCTCCGCACATACATACATGTCGAGCTGGAACAAACACAGACACAACTGCACCACATGTGCAGAGTGAATTGCCCTCCAGCCAGGTCCTCTCCCTCTAACCCGCTTTCTGTGAATTCTATAGTTCAATCTGTAATTACTGGATGATAAGCTTTCCTCAGGGTCTGTGTTGCACTCGGTAGGATCATTACAGATACCTACAGAGGCCTATTAGTGGTTGATGAGGCACCGTGCTGGACCGGAAGAGCGTGGGCTCCTCTCAGAGAGAGGGAGAGCCCTCGGCAGGCCCTAATTAGCCCGAAGAATCCGACTAGTTCCTGGTTTCCCGGTCAAATGGAAGACGCCTGGCCTCTGCATCAATTAGTGCGACTCTTAGAGTTGTGTTTTTTAATTCCCCTGCTCCATGTCACAGAGAGGTGATGGAGGCGAACTGCTGTTTGATGTCAGGAAGATGTGGAGCTTGTGCACACTTGTATTCAGCGGTTGAAGCTGTAGAATAAACCAATGGTGCATGTGAAGTGAATTAATAGCCTAAAGTTATTCAGGTCTCCTGTGCTCTGGTATTTACACAGTAGTATAGTTGAAAGATATATATTTTGCAGGATCTTCTTCTTTTGTAGTATTCAGTTTTATTTTCACATCATTACGTAATATGGTTTCACAAGCCTCACTTTAATTATAGCTCGGTTTGACATCTATCACCCATGTGCACAGCTTATTATCATAGTATAGATAGTTCCAAGTTAATCCCAAGCTAAACTTCAGGCTTCTTAGTGCTCAAAAGCAAATTTCCAATTCACTGTCAACGTGGAGGTCAGAGGTCAACCACCGTGTCAGGTATTCCTCCACTCTAGGGTCAGGGTCAACAGAATGGCTCCCACCACAGTTCATGTACTTTTAATAGCTGCAATAATAATTGTTCATTTGTTGATCTGCTTTCACACGTCCAGTGTCACGTAGGGTCAAACTATTGATTCTAGGAAATAAATTAGACCCAAAAAATGGATGTGACGAATGAAAAATTTGATTTCGCTGGATTTATATATATATATATTCTTATATAGTCTATAAGACTATATGATCAAAGTATATCAGTATTAGGGCAGAATTTAAGTGTGTGTGTGTGTGTGTGTGCGTTGTGTCTATTTCTGAGTCCTGCGGCCTCTTATAAGTGCTCTGTTGCAGACAGACCATGCTGCTCTGACAGCGTGACGCACTCCGATAAAAAGGCTCTCACTTGCGGTCACATGCGTCACCATGGCAATTAGCATGTCAGTGTATACGTGTGTGTGTGTGTGTGTGTTTGTGTGTGTATATATGTGTGTGTGATTGACAGCTGCCACAGCTGGGATGTAAACAACAACGAGCGGCTGCTGGTGGGGGAACCTGTGGTGCAGCAGAAACACACACTCACAGCTCTGGGTGGCTCCCTAACATGTGACCGAGCCATAAAGAATAAATGAGCTGCATCATATTTACTCACATGATGCAGGTGACGGTTTATCTTCAGAACACGGTTGGATTGTAACCGTCGACAGTAACAGGCAGAGATTCCGTGCAGCCTCACACACACACACACACACACGCTACTCTCCATCATATAGAATTAATTAGTAGTTAATGTGATGTGATTTCTCTCTCAGCACAGTCGATGCCTTCAGCTCATTATGGCAAGATAAAAAACAACATGGCTGCCTGAGCTGCTATCATCAACATCATCAAACATAATTAATATGTCAGGCAGATAGAAGTAGGTCAGTGACTGTAGCAGCTGTGTTCAGAACACCTTGTTGTTTTATAAACAGATGTAGATGCATATTTGACCAGAATATAATATGATATAATATAGAGACCTTCAGGGAACTACAATGGATGTTTTTCACATTTTCACTATTATTTCTAATGTTTTATCGACCAAGCAATCAATCGATTAATCAAGAGCCAATTCATCATTCATGTTTGTCTTTTATAAATGAGTCACATGCACTTTCTTTCTTGTAAAAGTATAAATCCAGATTAACTTTAAAACATGAATGCCTTGTTTTCTTTATCACCATCACTTGTTGATCTGTGGGCACCATTAGCAGGAATGTGAATTGCTGCATAGATGTTTTGTGTTCTTGTGTGTGACTGACGACAGGAAGCTGGAGCCAGGCTGCACCAGAGCGCGAGAGCAGCTTTAAAGCTTCACGTCAGTTGTTCTTAATGTGCTTTATAAATAAATCTAACTTTACTTGAGTCGATAAGATGGTGACACATTAAAAAAACTCGTATTGAGCAACTGATCCACTATAAATCCTGTGGGTGTTTTCTGTGATGAGTAAATGTTTTACGCAGGTTTGAGGTTTTAAAATCAAACTGGTCGAGGGCGTCACTCAGCGAGACGAGGAGCCGACTCCTACAGATTACTGTAGTGCCTCTCTTAATGCTCCGCTCTCTTCGGTGGAATCAGTTTGAGGAACTTGTCCGCTGAATAGTAACCTGGTAATTACCTTGTGCTTCTCCGAGGCTTCCACTGAGGGGCCTCTCAGACTGAAAAAACCTCAGTGAGCTGCCTCTTAAGATGTGCACGGTCCATTCTGCTGTGAAGAGCACCGCGTCGACCGGTGCTCCATTTAGACGCTGCCGCTGGCCTCGCCTCCAGACCTCACAGTCAGGTCACAAACACTTCACAGCGTGTCAAGAGTCATCTGAAGCACCGCTGCTATTCTGGGGCCCTTTCTCCGGACTCGTGAGTCATTATCATCCGGGCTTAGGAAAACATAGAGTAGACTTATGTGGAGTTAAAGTGAGAAGGTTCGAGCCTGACTGTGTTCACGCAGGAGAGAAGATGTAATCTCATTCCCTCCAGATAGAGAATTAATGGTTCTCCTTTAATCATGCAAATAAAGTCTGTTCTTAATTTAGACATTAATTATATCTTGTAATTTGGCAAACAGCACACAAAGTCTGCCAAGGATGCCCCCTGACAACCCTCGTGTTTTTCTCCGCAGCCCTCAGTCTGTTTCCTATCAGACTTCCAATCAAACGGAAGAGGATTCGCTAATTTAATATCGAGTGGCGAGGAGGCGCAGGAAGGAGGCGGAGAGGGGGAATCTCACAACTTAAATAATTAGCCCCTCGTCGCTCTCACAGGACATTTGAACCCACATTTCACTCACGGGCTGCACTTTGGGTTCAGTGTTGACGTATTTTAATTGCTTTTTTATTGGTTTGTTATCAGTCTGTGTTACAGGGTATTTAAAATTCTCTCAGCAGATTTTATTTAAGAAAATACAAGTTCATACATTCGTCTTTATTGTGTCATTGATGTATTTAACATTTTATGTTTTTCTCTCCACAGTGTTTGCCCATTCGTGGTCACGGGTTCGTCTTAGACAAATACAAGTGTCACTGCAAGAAAGGATTCTATCATCCCAACAGAGTCGCTGTCAACGGCTTCACAAGTAAGAGACAAATAAATCAAATGCTATAAAACTAAAGTTATATTCTGTTACTGTCATATTGAGAATCATTGGTTTCTGTGTAGATTTAAACAAATTACAACATGCTAACTGTATAGAAAATGTTTTTTTTCCAGAAGAAAAATGTCCATCGAGTTCTTTTCACGTGAAGTTGATTCAAAGTTGCACCGTTTACAATTTTGTTCAACACGAGCGACACCGTCATCCCGTTGTTCAACATCCTCGTTTTATAAGTACGCTGATGAGAGTGACACGTGGTACTGCTCCTCTCTGGAAACTGAAGTAGCCTCAGTTACCTGGGGAGGCTAATCAGGGTCGAGATGGGAAATCTGTTTTTAATGGTGGTAACTTCTGCCAGTTGACTCTGTGTGTGTGAGTTAATTAAAAAAGTGCTTCTGCAGACACAGAACCCCGGTGGTTTTCACCTGGCCGGGCATCGCTTCTCTCGGCCGCACTTTCATTTAAATCCACTTTACCTCCCGCCTCCCAATTTTCCCTCGTGCACCCCCTCCCTCACTTTTGGCATCATTTTTATTGCACCCATTTCCCCCCCCCTCAGATATTCCCCTTCATGTGCAGAGAGGCTGCACGGTTTATTTTGAAGCGAGTTTCTACACCAGCTCTCGTGTGTGTGTGTGTGTGTGTGTGTGTGTGTGTGTTTGAGAAGACAATAATAGAGAGGAGAGGCAAGCCTGTTAACGAGGCGTACTGCTGCAGTCTGGCCCACCATGGGGCCAATAACAAGCCTGTTAATCCACAAGGGGACATCCTTGACACTCCTTTGCAGAGGAAAGCCAGTACAACTCACTTCCCTTTGTCTCCCAGTGATCTTCCACTGTGGATCTCGAACACACAAATATGGGAGGAAGAAGTTAGTGTGGCTGAGCTCGCTCCGTCTGCCACTCAGCTGTTGGTGCAACAAACCAACGAGAAGGAGCTGAAGGATATGACTCACAGCGACGGAGATAAGTAGTCCCTTTGAAGGGATCAATGATGTGCAGAGTCATAGCTTTGAAAAATAGGCCAGTTCCTTTTTAAAGGAAAAATCCCTGCAAATCTCTGAGACAATGGCTGGTTCCAATAAAGCCTCCATAAGAGCTCTATATAGCTTTGCCATTCTTTATCCGTCCAACCATATGTCCATCTCTCAGTGGATTTCTACACAGACCAATAACAAGTGCTCCAGCTTCCCATTGTCCCCGGGTCTGTTTGGTTTCTACCTTAGTTTACAGACGGAGGGTTTTTCTTTGTAATATGTTTTTGATTATTAAGGAAAAACCTCCTCAATAATAAAGTTTAACCGTCACTTTGCAATAAGTAGTTTAGTTTCCGGTTTACACATCAACTTAGTACTTAAATATTTTAAAGTGCCACAGTTTTGGGTTTGGACTTTTATGTCCTTTCCTTGTCCGTCTTTCCTTCAGAGCCTGAAATGTCTCGTTTGAACTTCCTTCTTTTTAAATGTAGTTTAACTCCCTCCACTCCCATTTTACACCAAGATTCAAAGAACATAGATTTTTTATGATTTTCACATTCAATCTGCTCGTGACATAAATGTCTCCGTCCTTGTCCGGACAAAATAACTAAGTGCCGGCGTGACTCTGTGAGCTTTATCCCCGGGAAGCCGCAGTCATCAGCCCTGTATGTTATGCCAGTGAGTGAACAAGGTGCAGCAGTGTTGACTTTTCATGTTCACACATATAGACCCATCTCCCTCGTGTTGACACAAAGTCGATGAATCCTTGTCAGGTCAGCGAGGGACAGGAATATATTCTGGAAGCTTCAGGCGGCCGTAGAAGAACTTCATCTCCTCCTTTATCTTTTAATACTGGTCTCAGCTGAGCCACAGTAAAATTCAATAACAAGGGCCGTTAGCGTCATCGTTGTTACTCGTCATGAGGTGTTTGCGGGAGGATTTTGTCCGTGTCACCCTGGCAACTGCAGAAATAAGAAAAACCTCAATCTACATTAACTTGTTTGATCGATACCGATGAAAGGAATTAATATTTCAAATCAAACACTTCATTGACTCCGTTCTTCTCGACTTTGACAGGGACGGGGAAAAAGGGAAAAGCAGCAGACAGCGGTCCCAACGCAGACGAGGCGTCCTCCAGCGACTGCCTGCCGTGCCAGCCGGGCTGCGCGTTCTGCAAGGACGACACCCCCTGCGTGGCCCGAGACGACGGCGCCCTCCGAATGGCCGTGCTGTCTTTCCAGTGCCTCTGCATGCTGATCGTCTTCATCAGCATGGTGCTCGTCTACCACTTCCGCAGGAATAAGGTAACACGCTCACGACAACAAACAAAAACTCTCAACTCGTCCCTCACAGACTTTCTGATGGATTTGTATTTTATTTCTTTTCTCGTAATTTCACATTTTTTAAATATGTTAAACAAGATAAACATCTGGTCTCCGTGGCTGTAGCCGGAGCTTTGAGCATATTTTTAAATGCGTGGCACAGCTGCTCTCTGAAAACCGCCCCTCAAGCGTGTTGTCAATTAGAGGATGATACGTTAAATATCTCAGTGAGCAGAAATGTTGAACCCTTCTGTAAAAAGTCCTTGAGACACGAGCTTCCATTGCACTTTGTTCTCTTTCAACCAAGAAGAAGATGCGTTTAAACCAAACATAGATAAAAAGGAAAGTGAAAGCTTCTCCAAACAACATTGCATTTACCCTAAGTTGAAGTTTTGTTTCCTATGTAGCAGCTTTATAAGCAAATTTTATGTCAACGTTGTGTTTGCAGCCTGTCAGATCGTCATTAATTGATAAATTAGAGGTTTAATATTTGTTGTATCTTTATTTTCCTGTCAGAGTATCAGAGCGTCTGGTCTGGTCCTGCTGGAGGCCATCCTGTGTGGAGCGCTGCTTCTCTACTTCCCGGTGAGTGTGTGTGTGTGTGTGTGTGTGTGTGTGTGTGTGTGTGTGTGTGCGTCCTCTCATGTTCTTGTTTCTTGACATATTTCCTGATAATACTCATGACGTGCTCGTCCATTGAGCCGAATACAGAAATCTTCTCCCTGACTGAAGGTTGGCATTCAGTCTGACCTTCAGTTCACTCTGTGTCTCATTCATCTGAAACTGTATCAGAGCTCAGAACAAAGTTTGCCGTCTGTGGCGGCGGCGGCAGCGGCAGCACGGATCAGGTTCGTTGGACGTGTCCGATAGTAAAAACCCTCAGTTCATAAATCATCCTGTTTGGATGTTGTTGTTTTGTGCGACAGCTGCACGTAGCGTGGATAAGCAGGGCTTCACAGCTGAGGTGTGTGAGATAAAACGGGACTGGCAGAGACAAACATCCCAGGGCTTGTTGGTGACCCCCTGCTAACTGTACACAGCGTCGGCCAATGAACCCAGCAGCCCGTCAGCTCCGCCATCTGTTGACCAGCCACTCGTGCTGCTTCACACTCTCTGCTCTCATTCAGACCTGCACAGAAAATATATTCATCTGACCTTCACCTTTCAGTATCTGGTGTTTTCAACAAAAACTCATCATTTGTCCCGGATCAAACCTCAGGTGACTTTCTCTTTGATGAAATAAGGTTAAGACTCATTTGTGAATAAATGATTTTCATGGTGACGGATGTTGTAGTAAAACTTTAAAGTTGTTTTTAGAGCTGGAACAAATCATCGATTGACATTTTTTCTCTCATTGACAAATCAGTTTAAACTACTAAATGTATAAATTATTAGTAAAGAATCTGTTACTGCACATTCTCACATTTGTAAAATGTAGTGTTATTAAGTTTTACATTGTTCTGGAGGAAGAACAGTGAGAAGAACCTTTGTCCAACAGCCGAACATGGCTCCTCTTGTGGCCTCATGTAACCTGCAACTGTGATCTGCAAAAATCACTCAGAGTGATTCCTGAGCATCGGTTCCAAAAGATACCGACATTGATTTACATGAATCCACCATTACCTCGTGGCGCTTGGGGCACGGACTAATTGTGATTTAGCCGCAATCATGAGGAGCTTTATGCTTAGCAAAGCAACGCAGGGTAAATGTAATTAAAGGCAACTGATTTAGAGCCGGCTAATCAAGGCAATTTGCTGCGACAAGGTCCTGGAACGTAATAATGTTTGAAATCTGCAGAGTGAAAGTGAACCGGCGCGGCAGGTGAGTGAATGAATGAATTGCAGATGATGTTCCTGTATCTTGCTGGCGCGGCGATGGCTGCCAATGCTAAAAATAGGCCGCTTGTTAACAGGCTGTACAAAGGGAACTTCACTTTGTAGGTTGCTCTTGTTTGGAGATGACAAATCTACGGCGAAGGCTGGACGGTTCTGTACCGTCGTGCAGAAACGGTCGGCGTGAAACACGACTCGTCTTGTTTTGATAAAACATCTCGGCTCGATCATGTGAAAACGGCGGCACGCTAGATTTATCCCCACCCTGATGCATTTCCATGTCTCCCCTGCGAATCCCACACGAGCCGAGGCTGCGAGGGTGAGACGCATCCCTCCCAATCTAAATATAGATTCTGAAATATTCCACCGCCACTGCTGCTTCTATTTTAAATAATTCCACTGTTATTAGGGCGGGAGGAGATCTATCTCCTCCTGCTTTGTGGAGTAATACCATTTTCTCTCCCCCCGTGCTTTTCCCTCCCGAGCGTGTCACATGCAATAACTTCAGCCCCCTCCCTCCCCAGCTCTGAAATTAAAGGCGGGGGGGGGAACAAGAAGTGAAGAAGGACAAGAGGCAAAAACTATGGCAGTGCCAAAGCCGGCTATTTCCGTCTGGCTGTGGAAATGAGGGAGGGAGAGCGGACACGCATTTGTGATTCACAATGTGATCCCTGGATTAGCTTGCCAGCCCCGCGTTTGTCTCTTTGCAGCTTCTTATTGACGCTGCTGGGGAGGCTTAGATTGGAGTAAAGTGACAGAGTTTGGATTGCCATCGCTGCTTGTTTCTATTTCTCAGATGCCACCAGATCCCACAGTGGAGGGGGGGGGGGGGCATTCAGTAATGAATCGGAGGCGTCGCCTCATGCTGCCACCTGGTATCAACTTGTCAAACGACGACTCTGATGGGTGCTCCAGAGAATGCAAAGAAAAGGGGGGGTGGGGGTGGAGTACACATGATTTCACTTGTCATAACAATATTCTCAGCGATGCTTTGTCCACGCTGCAGCTCATGTGTCAGACGGCAGCTTGCAGAGGAGACGACGCCACTTAGAGAACAATGAAATCTTCCTCTTTTCCACATTCACTTTGCCTTTTCATCACAGCTTCTCTCTTTCCACAGCTCAGTCACTCTGCGTTCTGGTGACAGTTTCTTCCTCCTAACTCCTCCTCCTTTTATTTTGAGCTGGTGTTTAAAGGGATTATTATGAGTAGGAAACACAAAGATGTACTTTCTTTGTTACCACACAATTTTAATATGTTATCTCTGTTGTTATTAATACTAATACTTCCTTCTGTATTTTTACCACTTGTTTTCTTGCACTTATGCTCTGTAATTTGAAAATGTCTCAGCCCCTGAAACCTGTAACGACCAACAATGTGTAGCTGAGAGGACGTCATGGTTTTGAATTAAGGGAACTGTTGAGCTTCTTTTGGCTCAAATCTTTTCCAATATATTTGCATAAAAATATATAAAAAACTTAACTACAAGAATAAACATGACCGAGAAAGCAGGAATCTCGTCTTATGAGCCGTTCTCTGTCGCTCTCTTCCCCTCGTCAAGGAAACCATCTCCGTCATTTACCTGACGTTTAAAAACTTGCTGCAGTGAGCCAGCAACAACCAGGCTGCTTAAACGCGTGTAAACACCCCATATGAGACTGATCTTTCCCTCCCTGTGTCCCAGCCCATCTGTGCTGTGCACCAGCGCAGTCCGCCCCAGAGACGGCACTGGTTGTTCTTCTCTCCCCTGCGAGACGTGTCACGCCTCCTGCTCTGCTGCGAATGCATTCATAAATGTTAATGCGTATCTGCAATTTTTTTGTGTGTCGCACTTGCGGAAAAAAACCTTTGCAGCTTTTCAGTTTCTGGAGCGTCACTAATTCCTCGTCCGTCCCTGATTCAGTGTCTTTCCACCTGTCCACTTTCAGTTTTTGGCCAAGGTGCCACTTCACCCCAACTTGTGCGTCGCTGTGCATGGCAGGCGGGCCGGGCCTCACAGCGCATCAGGGGGCTAATGAGAAGCCGAGTGGCCAGGGGATGATGTCTCCTGACCTGACAGGCCATGACACACAGTCTGCCAGCCCTCTCTCTCTCTCTCTCTCCCCTGCTCAGCTCGACCTCCCGTCCAAGCTGTTCTGACACTTTCAATCTGACTTAAGTGGATCTGGAGGGTTTCTGTGCATCCCCAGCCCTCCCTTCATACTTTCCCTCCGTCTGCTCAGCGTCTCCACCAACACACGATCGCAGAGGATGCTCTGCTGCACCTGGAGGGTTCCTTCTATCCACATTAGCAGAGAGATGGAGGGTGTGAGACAAAAGAAAAAGAAAGATAGCATTGTTGCATGCAGGCAGGTTATTCCCTCTGTGATACGTCCCTTTGTGGCCCGGCGAGGTGGGAACATCTCGGAGGATCTAACTGGTGATGTGGAGGGAAGGCGGGGGAAGGCGAGCGCCAGCCGGCCTCGGCCTCGACTGTGCAGAGGCCGAGCTGGATGTAATTTACACTCGGCCCACCTCAGGGAGCAGCGGCAGGAGGAGAAACCATTACCTCCCTCCAGAAAGCTGCCCTTCCCACGTGGCAGTGAGTGTCAGCTTTCATATAAAAATGGATCCATTGCTATTACAACACTCCACCTCTCCTCTGCTCCCACCAGTGCCCCCCTCCCACTCTCTCATACTGAAGGTGTTTCGTGGATTTATATATGAAAAAAAATAAGACAAGGAGACGAGGAACGAGCCGGAGACGAGGACCCAGAAAAAGAAAGGCATGGGTGAACCGGAAGGCTGCCATGATTTCATGTCAAAACATTCAAAGTAGCACGAGAGCTTTGTTGTGACAGAACGATTCCCGAGGCTGCACCATCTCATTCTCCACTCAGATGGAGACGGACACAGTAAATGGCTGAAAGTCGTTTTTCTCCTATTTAGCTGTTTCCAAAGATACTGAAATTCAGCTCCATCTGTTCTTTTGACCGATGCCGGCCGACGTTTTTCAGCTCTGGGTTTTAGTTGCTTTTAAATCTAAGAACTGACGTGTTTGCACTGGATCACGGACAGATGACTAATATATGATAATTTCTTTTGCCATTTTCATTTCGCTAAGTGCTCTATTAGCATGAGGCTGCTCCTCTACCCGTCATAGCTGTGAACCCTGGTAATAACTCAGCATTCAAACCATAATTTAGAATTCTTTGCGCCCGTCTAACAGAGGCACAGTTTCGAGTGTATTAACTTTTCCGAATTCTTGAACTCATTCATTTATACGTTTAAACACAAACATAACAACACACAACAAGTTTTAAAATCTGAGTCAGTGAAAGTAAACAAAGTAAAGTCAACACACACACACACACACACACAACTCTGCAGTTTCCTTCTGTTTTATCACCATTTTTGTTGCTTCCAGCTCAGTGTTTTGTTTTATGACCACAGTTACTTGTTATTTCTAATCTTTGCATCCAGTCTTATTTCAAAAATCAAAAGCTTCTGATAAAAAAAGTACAAACCATGACTGGCACCAGACATCCCGCCCCTAGTCTGCCAGGAATTATATTTATACAAAACAATGTTAAATTATACTCTTTAAGAACGTATCAACTTCAGTTGTTGATCGCTGCAGAACATCGAACTTAGGAAAGTGACGGAATAACAAATATATTACACAGTAAACATTTTTCCCGTCTGCTGAATCGACTAAACTCATTTCATGCCACCGGGAGACGAGTCCGACGCTCAGATCGATAACTTCTGCGT